ATTTTAATATCACCCCAATCCTCCAGTTGACGAGTTAAGGTTGCCACTTCATTTGATTTTCATCGAATTTAAGTTCTGGCTAAATTTAATTTGCCCTTTCTCAAAAGATACATTCCGCTAAAAAAAAAGCCTTATATATAAATTAGACATTTGAAAACAGTTGAAATAAATCTGTATCCTTTGAAAAGGAGGACATGCAAGACATCAGAAATTTAAAAAAAATATTTATAAAATTAAAGCAAGAAATACACTGCCTATTATGTATACCTCCAGCTTCGATCAGGCTCAGCCCGATTAGTCATGTTAATTTTATATCATTCTTTTTTTTTTATTTAGTTACTTTATTTGATTTGTTTTTATTTATTTCTTTGTCTGCTCTTATTTATCATGAACAATAACAACGAAATATATTTCCCGGAATTAAGACATTAATTTTAAATCCAGCTGAGGTCAAGAATGAAAACAACGTAGTACAAAAGATGTTTGTTGTTATGAAATAAATATACTTGAATGTTGACTCACTCGGTCTAAGCCTAACAAATCTGAACCCGGAGTGGCACTGATATATATATATATATATATATATATATAATATATCGTTGTTAATCTACATTTGATGTCCCACACTTATTTAAATTATGAAACATCGAGAAATTATTTTCTTTAGAGAATAATGTTTCTATTAGTTATAAAAAGAAATCATAGAAAAATTTCTTACCCCTAATTGTTTGGTCAATCGGGACTTTCATGTTAGTAAAATTTTTAAAAAATATCAAATCTAAGACATTCTTTAATTATAAATGCTTTTTATTGATCTGTAATGGAGATTATTGCCTTAAGAAAAATGATTTTCGATGTATAATGAATAATAACTTTCATTTATTTAAATTTTAATTAGTCAATTATAAACTTTTAAATAATTTAAACTTCTGTATTAATTATTAAGTCTCAAGTGATAATGTTATTAAATAACAAAAAAACAGTATTTACTCATTACACATGGAATAGCTTAGTAGCAGTTAGCGACAACGACTATTTTAAAAAGAATTTTGAATTTATTTATCTGTGTATAAACATGTCGATTTTTATAAATACAGACTTTCCATACACAACATTATCAGAAACTTAAAGATATATCTATAGTAAGTTGTATTCTATGTATATCTATCTTTATGCATTTCTATGTATATCTATATCTCTGTAGACATCTACGTATATTATCTCACTCTCTCTATGTATATTTTCGGTCCATATTTGTATATGTGTCTGCCAATTATCTATCTATCTATCTATATATATATATATATATATATATATATATATATATATATATATGCCTCTCTTTTATGTATATTTGTCTCTCTCTATCTATCTATATATATATATATATGTGTGTGTGTTAAATAATTACATTATATATATATATGTGTGTGTGTTAAATAATTACATATATATATATATATATATATATATATGTGTGTGTGTAAATAATATATATATATATATATATATATATATATATATATATATATATAGTATAAATGTCTTTAATACACCATACAATTGCACAAGTTATGACTTAAAATCGCAGACTATGACCTTTCATGATTTATCTGCGCTGTGTGAACTCAGAACAGATACCTTTTTGGTAAATAGACAGATAGTTTCAATTTATTTTTGATCAAGTGATTTCGTTTGAATCTTAATTCCCTTTGCAATACTATTCTGCTCAATATTTCTACCGCGTTTTCTGTTTCGCTGCCATAAGCAAGCGAGTCTCTCTCACATAAACTGATTGAATATTTCCTCACTTGGCTGATCAAATATTTGTCAATATTTTACGCAATCTCAGCTGACAGAGCTTCTTCTATTATTCATGAACTCCGCACATAATCCTAACATCGTACATTAAATAAAACCCGCTTTGACAGATATCAATTTAACTTTCATGAGCTCTCTATCGATAGCATTGATTGTGCATCATTGAAAATAAGAAGCTAGACTGACTGTCTAGTTGTGTACGAATATTCATTGTCGATGAATCAGGGCGAAAGATAGTGTATTATAAACGCAGCCAATAAACAAAGGGATTGAAAATCTCTGGCGGGAAAAGGGAATCCCCTCATGGCAATTTCTTGGTACCCAATTCTATTAAAAAAAGTCTGAATTCTACAATATTTGAATGGTTTTGCTACCTGTTCAACTCTAAACGACGTTAAAAGAGTAACGTCATCTATTCTTATACTTGCTCATTGTCTAGATTGAGGGATTCTTACGCCTTAGTTTTAATGGGACTTCTGCGCGCCTTGTCCTATCAGGAGATGCAGTTTCATGGCTCACCATAATTTCCTGCTTTTTACTGATTCTCCTAATCCCTGTTCTGTCAACCATAGCTAGGTCGATTATTCGCTTCATTTCTCGTCGCATTTGCCTTCAATATGACCCGTGAGTGTCAGATTTTCTAAGCTTTCTTTCTTTATTATGTATGCTAGAAATTCCAAATGTCTTTTTTTTTATTCTAAGGAAATTGTTGTAGTTTGTCTATATTTCAAGGACCAATGGCACAGTGGATAAATGCGTTGGTTAAATCCAGTGACAGGACCAAAAGAGTGTGAGTTCAATACCCGGTTAAGGCAGTGGAGAACTTTCAGAGGGAAATTAGCAGGAGATAACTGATAACTGACATCCATCCAACATGGCACGTGGAACTAGAACAGTTTACCCCAGTGAGCGAAATAAAGGGTTCAGTTCGAAATTCCAACCACCTGAAGAAAGCCGAAGCGTACAACGGCCGAAAAGTTGTGATAAATATGGCGGCAAAGATGAGGAAAATAATCCGAATAATGTAAATAATGTATGAAATTGTTGTAATATAAGAAAAGTGTCTACTGAGATTAGGGAAACCAACCAAGGGATTGCTCTCCCAGTGAGTACGGGAGGGTAATAGGCAGAGAGAGAGGATAGAGATGAGTAAGGAGTAACAAAAATAATACTGCCTCAGAAAACACAGCAACTTTAGGAATATAAATCCTACGGGACCGATTTCACAGGATACCGTGTCTTGATGACACCTCGTTTTCTCGTTGCTTTTCTTAGCTTGTTCTCTTACAAATACACGCATCTTTACCAGTTGCGGAGCCAGCCCGTATTTAGACATGCCAAGTTGTACCGATGCTTACGTGAAAACCCGATTGTACCTGGTGTTGACAATCATATCCGCCTCTTATCCGACGCCTCTTTCCGTCTGTACCGACTCGCGTTCACCGCAGAATCATCATTCTTCTATTGTTGGCCTACATCCGTCATCAAAAATTGTTTTCAGTAATGATGATATATATGCGTGTGTATATATATATATATATATATGTGTGTGTGTGTGTGTGTAAAAGGAAATTGAACATAGAATTGCTTGTACAAAATTTTAAATGCTACAAAAAAAAAATTGACATAAGAAATAAATTCATTAATTTCATATGGATGACATGAGTTTGTACAGCTCCTTCAGAAATATCATTCTTATTTTTTTCTCCATAATTTGTTTCCTTATTACATGGTTTAAAATAAAATTAAAGATGAGGAAAAATCCTATAGGAAATGTTAATGAAATAAATTCTTGATACAAACGTGTAGTTTGTGTTTAAAACACTTTCAGATAATTTATAAGTATGGGTGATATAAATTTCGTTTCAATTCAGAAATGATATTTTCAGCCTGACCAAGTCGCTATCGAATGTGACACAAAATCGATGTTTAAAACTTGTTTTAAGGAAATACCGTGAAAACTTTGACCAATGTCCGTTTAGTATTCCAATTTTGAGGAGCCCTCAGGCGTCGGGTAATAAACTCAGCTCCAACCCGAAAGGACTTGCCTGGGGCTTCCTGGGGCTTGGGCTTAATTTTTATTTTAAAAAAAAAAAAAAAAACTTCCTCGAAATGTTCCATAAATGATTTTCTCCGCGTAATATAGATGTAACACAAGGCGAGGATCGAACTCTTTACTCAGTCGTAATTGATAAAGCAAGACAAACTTTGCTGACTATTATATCACGTTATTTGACAGTCAAGTGATTGGAGAAACAAGACTTTCTGCGCATTTCTTTTGACGCAGGTAATTATGATTTCGTTATTGAATGCGGAAATTTTAGTAGACGATTGAACTAATACAGGTCATAAACAATGATTATTCAAAATATTCTTAAGAAAATTGTGTAAATTGTCTTGGCGAAATCTGGTATCGTATGAAATGGCACCCGAATGAATTGATAATATGAAATTCAAATTGTGTTTTTCTATCAAGGTTGAAAACGATTGAAAGTAGAATTTCTAAGGAAAAACAAGATGGAGTTACGAAAGCGCGTAAAACTAGGGTGTGTACCATTTGAATTCCTCCCTATAGTAGTTCTATTTATATTTGGCAAAATCTGGATTATGAAATACAGAACCGGATTGATATTGTTGTACCCTAGGCAAGGTTACTGAATAGAATAATCAGATGAAGGTTGGTAATAAATGATAATACTTAGGACAAGAACAACACATATAAGATTCGCTAGCGGCGCGTAGAAGAAGTAGTCAACTGCTAGATGTGGGTCAAGTGAATTCCACAATGAATCTCCAACTGCAGGATATCTACCAGCCACCCGACGCGGTCAGAAGTGGCACAAGGCCGAATTTAATGTGGGGTATCCGAGCCCGTGGTCTCAACCAAAAATTCCCGTAGACCCCGTATAAAAAAATGTCGGGTAGCTGTTTTCCGAGACGAGACTCCGACCTTCGATATAGCATCGTCTGGGAATCGTCTGCCTCTGGGCAGAGAATTTGACCAGCAAAGCTGGAGGCGAATCTCTAACTGCAGACGAACATGTAGTATATTTATGTGAATGAGGACTATACCCATTATCGTCCGTTGTTATGCTACAACAGATATTGTTTATTATCAATAAATTTCTCTGCTCATCTCAATCCTCCTATATAGGAATTTGGACAATTTTCCACCTCAGCTCGATAGAGAAGACATATCTATCATTGCCATCCAAGAAAATAAGCGTTATTCGCGGACGAGTTCCTCGAAACCTCGTTTGTTTTAAGTAGACATAAAAACTTAGGACCGAAAGATAACTTGTCTGATTTATGCAACAGACTGTCAAACGAACATTTTCCGACTCGTTCAATTTATTTAGTGTCTAACTTGTCTGATCAAAAATTGATGTTAATGAGTCGTCTCGAAATTTTTAGCCGTAGAAAACTTCCCGAGGATAATGATTCGTTCAGAAAGAAAACCTGATGTCCCGTTCTTTTTTTTATTTGTTTGCTTTCAAGTTAACTTGTTTTATTTATTTATTCTAATTCAGAAAAAGAAAAAATCATCCACCTTTCCATTCCTTTTTTCCTATTTGCATCTTCTTTCTTACTAATCCCATCGCTTTTTGTTCTCATTTTTCTTAATTTTTCGACTTCTCATTTCATTCATTTCTTCTTTCATAATTTCTTGTTTCTTATAACAAATTTGTCTTTTTTCTTCATCTTTATTGCTTGTTTTAACGAAGAATATTTCTTGTCCTTTATTGATTTGTTGTGACTTGTCTCTTCTTTTATTAATTCGTTAGTCTTTCATTGCTTCTTTACTAGTTCTTTTACTAATTCTTACTAATTCTCTTGTCTTTCGCTGTCATTTTGGTATTTACATATTTTTTTTTTATCGGACACTGTCTTTTTTTATTTTGGGTTTTAATTTCCTCGCTTTGTGTTTTTGCCTTAATTTGGACTAAATCTTTTCTTTTCATTCCTTTTCTTATTCCTTTTTTAAAACAAATTACTCTTCTTTTCTTTGTTTCCATGAATATATTAGCCAGAAATAAGCAATAAAAAAAAAGCCAAAAAAAAATCCTCGTATATTCAGAAATATATAAGTTTTTCTTCATATTCGTAACAACTTCATTTAATTCAACTTTCTATTTTATAGTTATATTCGGAATTTTCATATCATTTATATTCAAAATAAAAAAATCTTACTGTTTGCGTACATCAGCGTCATTATCATATTGGACAATATTCCAGATACCTATTCTCTTGTGATTTTTTTATTATGATATAGGTATTGATAAGAAATGACATATATTGTATGAGATATTTAAAACTCGTGATTAATCTAGCAAGATACAAAACCTCTGAGGATCGAATACAGAGTAGCTACCCAGACAAGTGGTCTCTTCAAGACTCAGTGGCACTGGCCTCCGGGATTTGATCATTAATAATATTAAAACAGACTTGACATTTACACTTACCAATATTATAATTCTGACAGTTTTCATTTATATTATAACTTCAGTTATAATGTTGTGCTTGATTTAGCGATGTTCGTCGTCAACTATTAGAACTCCCTATTTTAAGGTTATTTTTATAACACACACTCGTACTGGATATAACGTAATTCTATATACACAGTCCGGCTGGTATCAGTCCGCTCCACTGAAATGAGTTCTAACACAAAGTGACGTGTCGCCGCTCCAAACGTGACGTCCGCCTGTCACGTCAGTCGTCGTCCTCGTCCTGTGACGACCAACTGGCTTGGTATCGGTCGCGGCACCCAAATGTGACGTTCTAACCTTTTGGTGATTCGGATGGGAATCTGGTTAGATTCGATATCAGCCTCGTCGTTCCCAACTCGCTTTCAACGCCTGGTTACCAAAGTAACTGCATTGATCTCCAGTCTACCTACCCACGTTGTGAATTGATCTTAGGCAGACGAGATCAATCACTAGCTGGGCCGTAATGCAAATCGGGTTCAAACGGGGAAGAAAATAAAATGATAACTCAAAAATTCAAGGTATCAAAAAAAAAGGATAACAAACTTTATGTCTAGTTGTTGGATACATAGGACTGCGTCTATCTCCCGACCCGTTCTATGGATTGTGACACGTTGTTTTCCGTTAGGCGAGTTTTAACACTTCAAGTTGTTTGCTCTTTAAGAAATTGGTTTTTCGGTGTGTCTTCGGGCGAAAGTCGAAAAAAAACTTATTTTGGTGGTCTGGATCTAAGTCGCTCTTCAAAATAATTGTTCTTGGATTGAAGAGGAGTCCGGAAATTGCGTGAATCTTGGTCAGCCGATGCGAGGCTTCACTGGAACTGACACTGGAACTGTCTCTGGGAACTCAACTCTGGAACTGGAACTCAAAACTGCTGGAACTCTCTGATGGAACTGATTTCTGCTCGCTGCGACTTTGCTTATATGGACGCCGACCAAAACCGGGGTGGGTTTGTCGGCGTCGGGGGTTCCTCGATAATTCTAAATACATATCCACTTCTTTTTATTTTTGGTTAGGAATTTTCCACTTTTTTCCATTTTTTGGGAGCCTTCTCTTACTCCCACCTTCTCACCATACTTCAGAGGGGCGTGAACTGTCCTCCCCACTTCTTCGTAGCAACCTCTCATACCCATCCTCTAAATGGGCGGCGACAGCTTCCTCCTTGCGTCACGTGATCACCACTCGGCCAATGATGTCCAGCCGGGTTTTGTTTCAGGGAAAAAAAAATATCTTTCTTAAAAAAAAATTATTTTCTTTTCCTTTTCTTTCTTTTAATCGCAGTTCTCATTTTCTCTAAAAAAAAAACAGAACAATGCGATCGGTGGTGGTCATAACTCTTGTTCTCACCTGGACTTCGTCAGTCAGATTATCGCTAATTATCAGAATGGGTGGTCTATTTAACACAACACGGTCAATCGTCCGTCAAAAAAAAAAAAACATTTCCATGGTTCCATTCATTTCTTTGGTACACATTTCTGATAACATAATTTTATTATCGCAGGCTAAAGATGTTCTTGTCAAAAAAAAAAACGGTCAGTCGCCACCTCGTGTGTGGCTTTGACACAATTAATTTTTCATATCTATCCAAAGCCCTGTAGTTCACCTGTTTTTTGTCAATTATCAAAATAACATTTTCAATTGGATTTTTCTTTGGCTAGTCGGTCTGTGGTTTTTAATCAGATTTTTTTCCCGCATTAGCGGTTTGTTTATGTATCCCCGATAACAGAGCTCGTCGCCAGAACACAGTCGATTCCTTTATCCACTTAGATTTTTTCTGCCATTGTAATGACACTTTTCGCCATTTGTTACTTATCAAAATATCCTTTATCCATTGTCTCTTAGTCGTGGGTGTTCTTTTTATCATCCACGCTTTGGGTCTCGCCTCTTTTTCCTTTTTTCCTTTCCTTTCTTTTTTTTTTTCTTTTTTTTTGCCTTGGTAAATGGTGCCACAACAAAATCAGGATCATTGTGCGGAATTTTTAGTAAAATACGGGCCACTACCAAAAAATTAATCCAGTATTTAAAAGAATTTTTTTTTGACGAGCCTGGCAGCAAACTGCCTGACTTCGATGCGAATGGTATTTACCCAATCCTCCCCACAAAGAGGGATGTGGCATAAGGCCTGTTTTTATGTTCGGCGAAAACATTTTTAGACTTGGGCTGAAAAAAAATATTTTAGACATATAATAAACATACGGTGTCAGGTTTTTAAATTTCCGCATTTAAAAAGACTCTAATTATGGTAAAGGCATAGTATAGGGTTACCCTCAGCCCGAAGGCAGAGATTTCGACAAGTGTGTCGCAAACCTTGCAGTGACCTGCCTGACGGGGATGCGACTCACGGCCTCATATCATGGAACTCGTTTGGGAAGGCGGTGTATGGTTATTAAGCATGTATTCATAGAAAATTACGACTGTATATATAGTGAGTTCGATCATATTTGGTTGCCTTATTTACATTCGGCCTAAAAATATTATCTATGCAACGCTTGAAAATTCACTGGGCTCCTCGAACCGGTGTAATGGTTTGCAAGCTAGAACAATTACGACTGAGTAGTGAGTTCGATCCTCACTGGGTGCCCTTTTTTTATTGATAAAATGAAAACAGATAACTACGCTTAGAAAATTACTATCATGGAACTTGTTTTAGTATTGGACGAGATCATAGTCATCGGGGGTGTACTCTTTACTCTACCACAGTTTATTTATAGATAATTTTTAACAAATATCACTAGGACCGGATTCTTCCTGAAGGAGATGACAGAGGAGGAGAAGGGAGCTTTTAAAAATCGGAGTAAATGCTGCGGTTGTAGTATCTGTTCCATGACGAAGGCCTTTTCTCCTCCCTTGCGTCCATTTATTTAATCTGTAACATCTGTTACGTAGCGGTGGAATGACCGGCTATGATTAATTTAGGAAATGGCAAAAGTGAAATTTTATACGGGTTTCCACATTTAAAAACCGACCTTGTTTATTTTTATTAAAACAGTTGGGAATCAAGGTATTTTGATTTACGCGTACTTTGGGGCATTTAATATTGTGGTTAGAATTGAATAATATCGATAACACAGTTACGGATATAGTAGTGTGATTGATTTTCACTATTATTTATTGTTTTTTATTTTTTTTCGGCCTTGTGCCACATCAAAGCCACTTTTAGAAAATCATCTTGGGGGCTCTTATTCCGGAAGGGGAAGCGTAAGAGAAATTCAACCTCCCCACCCGTTGGTGTAGATGCTACGGTTGTATTATCTGTTCCGTGCCGGAGACCTTTTCTCCACACTTGCGCATCACCACCCCACCCCGTTGCGTCGATAGAATCCTTGAACTTGTTACTTAACAACTGTTCCGTAGCGGGGGTATGACTAGCTTAGACAAGCAATGAGCAGAAAAGAACAGTACAAGCATTTTCTTTGTTCCATTTTTTTTTGTTAAAGACCGACCTCAGTGGGGAGTCAAGGTAAATATCGGATATGTGAGCTTATAATCAGGCAGTTGAAATATCTAGGACACATAACACATAACGCCAGGATCATTTTAAATTAGGGCATATTGAGGACAAATAGAGGAAAATATACATCGAAAGATATTTTTAAATTAATTTGCAAATGGAAATCTGAACAGATTGAGGTATATATAAATAAATCAATTTTATAGATCTATAAAAAAATAGGAATTTTTATATTTATATGATTTTACAAGTCCATAAAAAAAAGCTCGAGAGAAAAATTTTCTCCAGAATTCATTCTACATATCTATAGGTTTGTCATACTTAGAATATCGTTTTCACCTTCCGTCTCGTGCACCTGTTATATATATATATATATATAAGTCAGTTATGTGCCATGCGTGGTACACGCTTAGGTGATTATGTTTCTTTCCATACAGGACTGACGAGGCAGATTTTTTTTTCCCGCAGTAGGTTGTCATTTCTTTCTTCAGAAGACCATTTACCATCCAAGTCTATAGAACTCGGTCTGTCCTGCTATTAACCCAAAGATGGAGGGAGAAGAAGAGGATTAATATTTTTCCCAAAGGTATTAGCACGTTAATGAATATAATAGATTCGACTGGAATTCGAATCCTCAACCCGAACTGCTATCCATTACTAAACAGTGTTTGTTTTTTTCCTTGTTTATATATATATATATATATATATATATATATATAAAATCCAAAGATTCAGCAATATTATTCGTCCTGATCTGGCATCTCAGCTTTAGTCGCATTCCCACTGGGTTGACGAATTTTCCCTGTAATGTTCACGTAAATAATCTGAATTTACAGGTAGGCCTACATTTTAGGGCTCTGATAGCCTACTATATGTTTGGCGATCGAGCTATATGGTAGGTCCAGGCCTAACTCAAACGTTTGTGCTGGAAATCTTGCTATCAACTTGTACACTGTTTACTGTAATTGTCTACCCGCAATACAAAATAATCTTTGTATGATTACGATGAAATAGTGCACAAATTCGCATATATTCTGAATTTCTGGGCTGAGGACTTTTCATTATTCAAACTATTGACCTTATCTTTATTGTTATTTATCACACTGTTTCGAACGCTGTGCCCTCCGGCTTTTATCAGGTGTATATCGATGCAGGTAACCTAACGGAGTTTCGATACTCTATGGAGTTATTTAAAAAAAACGGTTTTGTATCAGTTCCAGTCATACTTTGGTAGAAAATTACAACCAATGAGATATTAGATAATATCCCATATTATCCTTACGAGAGTTGAAATTGGCACATTCTTTTACCATGTATTGAAGCTTCGTGAAAATGTCACCGTTTCTTTATTTGAATTTCCTGAGTAATCTGATTTCTTCATTTAATGATTAAATAAGTCCATGGCAAGTTCGACGACATTAAAATATCTGTAGAAATTCACCTATCACATCGTTAAATTTTTGAGCTTAGTAACGTTAACAAAATATTACAATATCTATTATAATTATGAAAAATTTTTTTTCTTTCTTTCTAAAATTTTTCTTTTTAAATTTATTTCCAATATTTTTTAAAATCTTCCTTACTTTCTTTCTATCTTTCTTCCTTATTTTTAATTATTTAATTTAAACTTTTATTTCCTTTAATTTTCTTTCTTTCTTCCTTATTTTTTTTTATCTTCCTTAATTTTTAAATCTTCCTTTTTTTTTCTATCTTTAATTTTTTTATTTATATTTTTTATATATATCTTTAAAAAATTTCTTTCTATCTATTTTTTTTCCTTTTTTTTTTTTATTATTTATATTTACATTATTTTATATTAAATTCTTAATTATTTTCTTTCTTTTGTCTAATTTCTTTTCTCTTTTTTCATTCGAATCTAATTTTTTTATTCTATCATCTTTTTTATCTTTCTATCTATCTTATAATAAATTTCTTTTATTATTTCTTTCTGAATTTCATATATCTTTAAGATCTTTCTTTATTATTTTTAAAATCTTTTTTTTCCTATCTTTTTCTTTCTCCAATTTTTTATTTTTCTTTTCTTTTATGGTGACATTTCTTTTATTTCTTATCCTTTTTTTATCTTTTTTAATTTTCTTTTTCTTCTTCTTATATTTTTTCTCTCTTTTTTATTTTTTTCTTTCTTTCTTCTTATCCTTTCTTTCTCTCTTCTTATCCTTTCTTTCTCTCTTCTTATCCTTTCTTTCTCTCTTCTTATCCTTTCTTTCTCTCTTCTTATCCTTTCTTTCTCTCTTCTTATCCTTTCTTTCTCTCTTCTTATCCTTTCTTTCTCTCTTCTTATCCTTTCTTTCTCTCTTCTTATCATTTATTTCTCTCTTCTTATCCTTTTTCTTTATCTCTTCCTTTCTTTCTCTCTTCTTATCCTTTCTTTTAAATTCTTATCCTTTTTTTTCTCTTTTATCCTTTTTTTTTCTCTTCTTATCCTTTTCTTTCAGGGGGCTCTTCTTAAAAAAAAAAAATATATATTTCCATTGCTTTGAAATCTTTTCAGTTTCATCCTGCCTTTCATTCCTTTTCAATTTTTTTTGCCTCCTTTCTTTGTCTTTCCTCTTTCCTTTCTTTCTCTCTTCCTTCTTTTCTTTCTCTCTTCCTTCTTTTCTTTCTCTCTTCCTTCTTTTCTTTCAGTCTTACGACCTTTCTTTCTGCCAAGCCTCCTTTCTTTCTATCAAGCCTCCTTTCTTGCTGTCTTCTTTCCTACATTTATTTCTATCTTCCGTCTTTTCTTTCAAACTATCCTCTTTTCTTTCAAACTATCCTCTTTTCTTTCTGAAACCAAGTAGTGTCTTTACCCCGTTTCCCACCGATCGAAACAGAAGAGTCCAGTATTTATGAGGTGTTGGGAGGTTGTAATGTTCGTGCGAAATAGAAAACTTACTAAATAACGAAAGAAGGGACAAACATTTATTATATAGATGATCTCCAGTTTTGTAAAATGACAGTTTCACTGAAAAATATTGGACATTTTCCAAGTTTTTTCTTTCAAATCAAATAAATACGATTTTAAGCAAAACTGTCAAAATATCTATTTCCTGGAGTCATTTAAAAATGTGGTCTTATTTTTTTCTATAAATCTAAATTATAAACTTTAATTCTCGGACGTGAAAATTTTACGAAAAATGTTGGAAAATTTCCACCCCAATATTTGAAATGAAAAAATACAAACCTTAAGAAAATTAAACAGAATTTATTGAAAAATGAATATGACACTTCAACGCATATCTTTTAGCACCATTTTTCACAGATTTTCTTTTTCCCTATATCTAAATTACAATTAAAAATCTATAATCTTGGATTTTTTTTTTTTTGAAAAATTTCACAGAAATATGTTGAAACTTTTCCAAGTTTTTAAACTGAAATCATTTATATATATATATATATATATATATATATATATATATATATATAAAAAATACGAGAAAAAAAAACAAAAATCCTTATATACAATTATGTTGTTTTAATCAAAAATATGTCAACGTCAGACGTTTCGGTCTAATAAACCATCTTCAGGACATTTTCATAAAATATAATTAGCATTATCAATTCAACATGACAAAGACGATTGATAATGTTAATTATATTTTATGAATATGTCCTGAAGATGGTTTATTAGACCGAAACGTCTGACGTTGACATATTAACATTAAAACAGCATAATTGTATATAAGGATTTTTGTTTATTTTTTCCGTATGTTTTTCTTCATACAGTCGGATTTATATCCATATATATATATAGTGCTGTTCGATAAATGTGACTCACTTTATCCTTTGAATTTAGCTCAACTTTCGTTTCATCGGAGAAGAGAACATTCTTCCAGTTTTCTACGGTGAAATTTTTGCAATAGTGAGCCTATTCAAGTCTCTTTGCTTATTAGCCGCTTAAACCTTCGTGTACAAGATTTGTAGCCTTGTTTTAAGAGGCACCAACCGATTGTTGAAGAGGCAAGACTAACACCTTGCTCTTAATTCGCTTAGACTAGTCAATTTCTTTGCTATCAATATCATCAATGATTTTTCTTTCGTTCCTTTTGTCTTCCTTCGATCAGGAGGGGGATCATTATGTGTCCCAAGCACTCGAGAGACAGTTGATTGCGATGTTAAAGCAATTTCTGCAATTTCTCTCGTAGACTTGCATGCTTTTGAGAGGGCAATAATAGAGGACTTAAGTCGTTCTGATGCGTGTTTGTACCCTTTTATCTGGTTAGTGAGTTTAGCCTATTACTGCTTTTATACTGTATGAGGCTCTCTGGAATATTATAGAATGCTCTAGATTTAATTTAAGCTTGAATTCTCTAGAATATCTAGTGTATTGTAAAATAGTATTCAATATTTTGTCAAAAGCTCTTTAAATTTACCAGTTTAATAATTAGAATGCGATATCTGAGTCACTTTCTTTTCACGGAGATTTTTCCTGAATCTCATTTATATCCAAATTTATAATTATCAATAGAATACCTTAGGGTGAATAAACTTTTTGCCTAAGTGGTCGGGAAGGGGTCTTTATATTAGTAAGATTAAAAAACAATAGACAAAAATATTTATAGTAAAAATATCAGGTGATTTACTTTTATCGAACAGCACTGTATATATATATATATATATATATATATATAAAATAAAAACAGACCACTTTAAGGTTCCATGTAATAAGTTATTTCGCCACAGCCCTTTTAAAGGACTACGGATCATCAGACTTTCCGAAGAATGTTTTTGTTTCAACCTTTGGAAGTATTCCAAAGGTTGAAACAAAAACATTTTTTGTTTCAACCTTTTGAAGTAAATTATTATTTGGTGAAATAACTTATTACATGGAACCCAAAAGTGGTCTGTTTTTATTTAAATTATATGCTCTGGATTTACATTGAGCTCTCTGGATTTTATCCTCCTTGAGTTTCCCCCATACGGATTACCTAGTTTTTCATAAATATATATATATATATATATATATATATATATATATATATATATATATATATACTAGAATAAATCCTAAGAAGGCAGGCAAACCTACCTAGTTTTCACCTAAAGGGTATACTGCCTGTGTAAATTTTACATTTTTCGTAAAATTTTCACGTTCTAGAATTAAAGTTTATAATTTAGATTTATAGAAAAAAAAATAAGATGTGATAGGTGAATTGCTACGGATATTTTAATGTCGTAGAACTTGCCATAGCTTATTCAATCATAAAATTAAGAATTAAAATTTATCCTGAAGATCCGTTTAGG